TACGAGGGCGGTTCAATAAGTACCCGTGTAAGAAATGAAGACACCTTTTTTTTTATTTTTCAACATAGTCCCCTTTTAGAAAGTTACACTTCTCCCAACGTCCCTGCCATTTTTTTTACAACTCCAAAAAATAATATTTGCTGAACTCTGCAAAATCCCCCCTGTCTCGGTGATGACTTCCTCGTTTGAGCTAATTTTTTTTCTCGCGAGTCATTTCTTCATGGTAGGGAACAAGACGAAGTCGCAAGGTGTCAAATCGAATGAGTTCATAACGTAATTCATGTAGTTTGGCGGCAACAACCCCTGATGAATGTGCCGGTGCGTTATCGTGTTCAAAACGCACCTTCTTTTTCGTTAAATGCTTCCGTGTCTTCTTCAATTTTTTTGTCAATGTAGTAATGTCCAGTGATCGTTCTTCCTTTTCCTAAAAAATCCGTAAAATGATTCCCTCGGTAACAACGTTTGCCAGGCTTCCTGGTCGTTCCTATCAAAACCGGATCTTTGGCTACGTTTAAATTCGTTGAAGCAATATCTAACTGTGGACGTAGATGGCGAAATGTCTCCATAAACAGTATCCAACTTTGTTTTCATCTCCTCGCATTTTTTCCCATCCAAAAACTAAAAGCGAGTTACCGAACGATACTGATCTTTTTCCATCTTAGCGAAAATAACGAAACACGTCTCAGTCGAATGGCCGCCAAATCCAAACTAACCTATCAGTCAGTCTGAAATTCGTTTTGACGTGGTTTGATAGATGGCAGCACACGATGACAACACCAATTTCCCTCAGGAACGTCCTCCGTTCTTCAAACACGGGTACTTATTAAACCGCCCTCGTATATGTATTCAATGCTTTCGTCATTCGTGATCCATAAAATTTATGTAGATTACTTCTACTGGAATATAATTCCTCAAAGAAGTTGCTCAAATGAAACGGAATAGAATTCTACCGGTTATTACTTTTCTTTAGTTCGAGTAGCTGAAGAAATTATTAATAACCCTTTCTTTGCGATAGGAATATTCTTACTCAATATAAAAATTTATTACATACTGCAATAGTATTAGCTATAGGTATTGAATAATGCATGACTCTTTTTATTGACAAAAAGTACTTCCTGTGCCCTCTCTGTATGCAAAAATATGAAAAAGCGCAATACAGTAAGCGAATTGAGCTAAAGGTAGTAAGTGCCACGTGAAATGTTTTAATTCGCATTGTAATTCGAAGTGCATCTCTCGAAGCGGTAGCATGCAAATAGTAGTAAGGTAACACGTATTCTGCAGTCAGAGGTGTTGAAATGTATCAGAATGTGTGAATAATATAATTAGCGAATTAATCACATGCGTGTTGTGGTAAAGTTAGAACTGTCGAAAAGTTGAAATGTTTGAAACGACATTGTACATTAAGTAGAGCACCTATGACTGAGTAAATTTGAAACTACTTCGTGTTCTGATAAAAAGCACCTTAAATACAGGTGCAGCTAATACATAAAGTCAAAAAGGCTGCATATGTTGGCGCAGTATACTTCGTTTACTTTCTGTAGGGATTTGACCTTCAATTTGACCAGCGCAAAGTAGAAAAGAACAGCACTAGACCAGAAAAGGAGGGAGACAACTCTCGGCCAAACTCTTAACCGGTGAGGAGCGTATAATACGTACAGTACTACACGGAAAAATTGACCATTTTATCCACTAATATTGCATTGCTCAAATGTGCTGTTATTGGTACCAATTACTACTGAAAATATCAACGAGATGTTTATTTATATTTGAAGACATATTAAAGGCTTTAACGCTTGTTTTCGACTCGCACTATTATTCATGATTGAACAAAACTTTTGACAGGTACTGTATGAAAAAGTATGTTTAATGAACACGAGTCGAGAGTATAATGAGCTTTTTCCTCCCTACCTACGATTTTGCCAGCGCGCATCCAAGACATTGGAAGGGGCACATCGCTAGAGAAAGTAAATGAAGTATACCTTCCTACCTCAAACTATACAAATAACAGTTGATAGAAAACAAGAACATAGATGGCGTTTAGTGCGCCGTTTGTAGGATTTCATATTCACGTGAATTACAAGGAAAAAGTCATGCCAATGTAGAAATTATTCCTAAAGGTGGTTATATTTACTAATGGGTTGGTAGGTAGCTTATTTGCAACAAAATCGGCAATTATGTGCTACATTTGCCATTTAACAATTATCTGTTATTATTGTCTTTTTACCGTCTTTTAAAAACTACAAGTTAATTTATGTTTGAACTAGACTAACAATCAGTATATTTTTAGAAAATTGGTTCATGATAGTATTGTTAAAACATGGTAGGTACATTACATATTCCTAAGCACATGTAACTCTCTGTTTCTATTTTATATCATCTTCGGCTTAAAACTCTTCAGAATATTGAATCGATTGATTAGTAATTATTTATAGGTGAAATTAATGCATTGATCGATGCCGCTGTGAAAGGATAATAATAAAATCGAGTAGGTAGTACGTTTTGAAAAATAATTACATTACTAGTAATAATTTCGGCATTGAAATTGTAGCGTTTTGTTGTTCAATTTTGTATGAGAATTAATATTAGGTACATAGGGATGATGGATTATGAGCGAGGCAGTTTGGAGGCTGTTGGCTCGAGGGCGTGAGCATTATGGGGCATAGTAATGCCGGCCACGTAAGACTGGAGCCTTACCCTGTGCTTATCGATGTGCAAAGTTCTAAGGTTGGGATCAAAAAGCAGCTTACTGGGCTCGAGGTTTACTGGCGATTGCCGCCTGCCCTTGTTGCACAGCGACCATTCCGGGTTAATTAGACCCCAGAATGCAGGCCCTGTAACGAAACAGAAACAAGGGTTAGAGTTAAACTGGTGGAAATTATTATCAACATTTGATAGCTCTGACTATAAGCGCTAATATTAATTTGACGATTTATCACTGTTGAACTACTAGGTACCTACTCTGTCTTTTACAATGAAAGGTAACAAAAGTCATAATCACTTATTACCTATTATTACCACTTTGATTTTATTACATGGTAAACCATTCTGTTAAATTTCACAGGCAGATATTCGGGAACTTACTATTGTAAGTGGAATATCAGCACACGCAGTAAATTAATAAAACGTGTTGTTTAATTCTTTGGTGGAAGGTAGAAAAAAATAGAACTCTTGCAGCGAAGTCAACTTAATTATATATTTATAATATGTACAGAGTATCTCCAACTAATGATTCATTATGATTGTATTGTACAAGTCCCGTCTTGCGTTCGAGTGCTTGTCTTCTTATATCTACAACTTAAACTAGGAGGAAAACACTAAGGGTGTGGCTAGTTTCACCATTGGTGATTAATCCTTTCAAAACAATTCGGTGCAAATTTAGAAGGCGGGCTTTCAACTTAAAATTTTGGAAAGAGGGAAGTTTACAATCTGAGAAAAGATCGGCACATCAAGAAATCAACAAAGGATACTTATAACCGTTAGGCTCATAAAAAAACACCCCATAATAAAATTGAAACTAAATTGGGATCGTAATTAATTTCAACATTTTACCGATGCACCTAAGGGTCTACTACCAAATAAACACCATACCTTGTAAATTTGCAAACATTCTAAAAATTGTATGCAGGAATTTTATGGCCTGCAAAACGACGATCGGTCTCTGAACACATTCTATCGGTGTGGAATAGATCAAATTTTCAAGTAAGTAAATATCCGACGATAATTGATTGTTTTCTACAAAATTCTCCCTTTAATTCCCTCCAAATTAATTTCTGTGGTCACTGAATTCTGACTTTAGCTCTATTAGGTATTCGTCTATCAATGTGAAAGTTTCACAACGAATCGGATGATAAATTGTTTAAAAACACTGCATATTATACTTCTTGATTAGTATAACAAATTCGAAATATAAAACAAAGAACGTTTCGTTAGATTTTAGTCCAATTTATTTCGACTATAACTACCATTAATCCGATAAAAACAAAAGACTGCTGAAATATAGAATTTAAGTAACTAAAGCATATACATAGGTATTACAACTTTTGTTCGTAATATTAAGTAATGGTGAAATGAATTTTTTATTGATGTATTAACAATGCTTTTATCTCAACGAATTATTGCTCGGTATGAGGACAATCTCAGGTTTTTGAAGCATTTGTGGAATTTATTGATTTATCTATTTATTTGAGATAATAAACGTATTCTTGTAACTTAAGACACAATTTGAATGACCGATTTTATTGTAACAATGTAATAATTAATCAATCAACAAATGGTACCAATATTATTAAACAATGAACATTTTGTATTTTTTGTGTTGTCAAAACGAACTATTTTGTTGGGATTTAACGGAAAGGTTATTTCCGAGCTTTAGTTCTGCTAATGTGATACTTAGACAGTTGAAATTTTTACAGATGATGTTTTGCTGTTACCGCTATAACAACAAATTTTAAAAGAGAATAAAATACATATTTGAGTGGGGCTCCCATACAACAGACATGATGTTTTTTGCCGTTTTTATAGATAATGGTCTTTCGTGAGCGAGTTCAACTCGCACGTGACCAGTTTTATTTGTATTTCCGAACTTTCTTGGTTCAGTGTAAGAGTAGAGAAACTATAGATTGTCATTTCCGTTTGGTTTGGCCCCAAGTAAGACTTAAATAAATAATTTTTAACAACAATTTTTGGTATCTGTTTGTACTTAAAATAAATACATGTTGCACCTGGTTAATATAGCAACTGTTTCGTTTGGCTTGGATAATTCGGGCTGCTGTTGAAAAAAATACGTGATGTGGTTGTGCAAAGCAAACTAATGGATCTGAGCATTAGATCGAGCATGTTTAAATTAATTTGATCGTTGTGGCCGTACGTCTGGCCATTTCTCAGGATTCGTGAAGCGGTCACGAAATTTATGCCTTCTAAAGGACGATATTAAATTTCGCAAGCAATTGCATTAGACCGCTAACGATGGATGGTAGATGTTGACTCCTCATTGTTTCCCTACACAATGTTGCCAATTTCGTAGTTTCACGGGCTCAAATTATGCAAATTAGACAAACTCGCTCGGTTGATGGTTTCTTCAACAGAATGATACAAATTCTCTTACATTTAGTGTACGTTACTATATTAACAAGTTATACCAACACTTTATTTAAATATGTTTGATATGCAAAAGCAGGATTTAATAGAATTTAATTAATTAATTACTTTTGTCATTAACATTATCGGCGCATAAGTGGAGTCATAAACGAGGCTTTTCTTGTTCTGTTTATTTGGTTTGAAATTTATATTCATGATGTTCTCTGGTAAAATATCTTACGATGAAAATTTAAATTCAATATGCTTGACAAGCGCCTTACGGACTCTACTGTTATATAGTATCCATAAATCAATATTTAGGTCACTGGTACAAAGTTGGTACATCTAAATTGTTTATTAAAACTACAAGCTAACACCTACTTACCTACTGTGTTAGTAGGTCAATTAGCAACCGTTTTAATAGCGAAATCAATAATTACAATCAGTGATAGTCTAGCCAAAAACTCGAAAGTTCACGAAGATGCAGGGTGGCGGGACGGCTTACCGTCTTCACTCACCCTGTGGTAGTTCCCTGCCATTTCTACGTTCCCCAATTATCTAGTAAGGGGGGTTAAGATTATTATTATTCTATTATTTTATGTAATTAATTAATTACAGTTAAATTGTTGACAAGTCATCCTGAACTGTAAAATTGCTTTTAATATAATAAAGTGATTATATGCCAAATAAATTAAGCAGAAAAATTCCCTTCTTTATAACATGGCAGAAAATTAGCTTCTTCGATATATTACCTTTTAAACTAAACTAGCGGGAGGGCAGTTTTTAAAGGCTACGCCGGAGGGTAGTGGGGTAGGCCTTCTTCGATCTCCTTTTAGGAGTCGTAGGAGTGGGATGAGACAGGCGAAATGAAGATGGGAGAATATGAAAGATGGAATATTGTTGTCTCGGTATTGGTCTATGTGATCCAAAAAAACCAAGAAAAACTTCGACCCGAAATCGAACCGAGGTCCTTCCGAGTACCAAGCAATGGTCTAAACTTTTAGTCCAGGTATGGCGAAACATCGATCGCGATCGACTGGTCGATTATAGCCGACTAGAGGCAATCTCAATTTTTCCCAATGAACAAGAAGGAAAATATGCAAATTTAAATGATAATAAATGTGCAGTTTTTTTATTCCTTCAAAAAGGATTTGAACATAAAAATATCAGACATCATCATTTACATGGAAAATAAGGTGGTTGAAAACGAAATTGTAACTTTACAAACTCATATACCTAATCATTAAAGCCAACAGCGAAAAGAATTTTCGGAAATACCCCAATATCACCAAATATAGAGAAGTTTTTTCTTGTTTTGGATCTCAATACTTATATGAATTAGCAGTTTCATATTTAAAGTTAACAAGAATATTACACTAGTGAATTTCGTATTGAAGATTCATTGCCATTATCTTCATCTGGACATACACTAAATTATGATTCCTTGGTTTGTATACAATTCCTCGATTCCATACATTTCCGGTAACATATACAGAAGTTGGCGACCTTTGCTCTAGGCTGTACCTGTAAGTTATTACATCAACTAGCTAATACTGAACAGCTTTATGTTTGATTGGTGATTTATCCAAATCTCCTACGGCATACTGATGAGATCAATAAGTTCGAAATTGCTATCCACGTTAGGTAGTTTGACTAAATTTCTGACCAAGAACGTAGTAATGTTCTTTATTAATTTAATTTTATTTGGCAGCCCAGGCTCTCATATTTCGAAAGTTACTTTACTGTTGTACATGTATCTTAAGAGTAATAAAACATACAAAAACTTTATGATGCGAAAAATACATTTATTAGGTACAAGAATTGCAATCATTAAATGATAATCCATTCATGAAGTGGCTGGTTACCCGCTTGTTCCTTGTTCTTCGTTTTACAATTTACTGTCACTTCCATCATCATAACTTTAATGGCTAGTACGACTATAAAGTTTTTATTATCAAACAAGATATTTTGTGTTATCCCCCTAGGAACTACAAAAACAAATTAGTAATCTACCTTAGAGTCTTCATATAAACTTTTCTACCTTATTAGAAGGCTAAGTATATTAACGTTATCCGCTGCTTGCGGTTTACAGATAACTTTAACGATTTTTTAATGAAAGCTGCTTTACTTGCGCATTTTCCCCCTTAAAAAAGCCTTATATTGACTTGGTAAGTTTACGACCCATAAACTGAGGTTATCAGTAAAGACAGCTCTGGTTTTTAGAGCCTTTGTACACGCGTTTACTAAAATCTACATAAATTTCAAGTCTGGAGGCCACGATACTTCAAGATAGTCGAAGATAAGATAGATAAATTAGCCCAACCCATTTAAGCGTCGTATAGTTAAACTAACGGTGACCTTCCATGTAGTTAATTTGCAAACAACCCATTCTAACAAGAATGGTATTGTTACCCTTTCCGGGATTTTAAATTAATAGGTTATATTTAGAAACTTTAGAACCACATGGGGCAGACACCACAACACTTGCTTGTACTCTGTGCCCATAAAATCTTCCCTTAATCGAATTCTTGACAATACGATTTCTGTAATGTTTTGTCTTAGTACATAACTAATTAAAATATTCTGTTCTGATTAATTAATTTTGCAAACTAGTATTCATCTCATTATTCACTTTATTGCGAATTTTATATAGATTACTAGACGTAAAACACGGTGTACAAAGATTCAGAACAATAATTCAAAGTATCGAAGAAAAATAGTTTGACACAAAACTTTTTACTTATTAAATCGGAAA